CCCCACCCCCTCCGGCTGTCCGGCTGGGGTGGAGCGTCCCCACAGCTGAGGATAAGGTAGTAACTGCCAGAGAGAGACAGAGAGATGGGGTCTTCAGCTTCCACTCTTACCCCACGAGGAACCCAGGGTCGACTACTACTCTTCCCCACCAGCTCACATGCATCTCCTCAGTCAGAACAGAACAGTTTTTTCTTTGTGCCTCTTCTATGGAGACGCACAATAATAGATGAGCAGCTGCCGTATGTTGAACCCATGCCCTATGCCAGACACACACTGGCACTCTGCATACCCCAACCTGAACACTGCCGGGAAGTGGGGTACCCAGAAGACAAAACTCTATGGTGCCCTCTAGGGGCCAGGGAGGGGATGCAGGGTGTGAGGCATGCTGCTGGCAGCTCAGGAATGGGCAGCCTGAGGAGGGCTGAGAGCCCAGACTCAGCCAGACTGCTGGGGTAGAAATTCCAGACTCTGTGGAATCCCAGCTGTGCTCCTGGGCCAGTGCCCTAACCTCTCTGACCTTCAAATCCCTCATCTGAAAAATGGGGATAATAATGGAACCTATCTTATAAAATATGTATAAGAATTAAAGCAGTCAATATACTTTATATATGTATAGAAAGTAGTAAGGCATGCCCTTAATATTTTATAAATCTCTACTTATTATTTCTTAGCCTGGGGAGGGGCAGTTTGGTGTTTGTTTTATATTATTATCTTATATGACTCTTATATATGGTGTTAAATATGTCCTGTCCCAGGAAGGGGGAAAAGAGGACTTTGAGTACAAGAGTATGTGTGTGTGTGCATACACTCTTATGTGTATATATTTGTGTATATATTTTCTGTATGTATCATACACTCATAGTAATTTTATAAAAAGAGAGGCTCAGAGAGATAAAGTAGCTTCTTGAGTTCACACAGCTTATAAACGACAAAGGCCAGGCACAAAACCCAAGTGCCTTACTTTTTACCAAGCCCATGCTTTTCTCATATGAAACTGTAGAGCAGATTAAAGCTGAATTGAGGAAGGGTGGAGGAAGGGTGGAGGCCTGCCCTCTCCCCACTGTCCTTCCCATGCTCTCCACACCCCCGGGCTCAGTCTTAAGGCCCATGGACGCCCAGAGCCACTTGAGAACCTCAGCTCCAGCCTGTGCCGCATCCTCCCAGTCCCCCCTCACCATCTTCTGCCCTCCCTGACCTGTTGTGCTCAGACTGCTGGAAGCTTGGGACAATGGTAAGGTCCCTGCACCCCCTTGGGGTGTGACCTGGGGAGAGAGGAAAGGAGGTATGATTAGGCCACTGTCCCCCAGCAGTCCCCATGATGTTTTCTGTAGGCCCCACTTCTCTGTCCCAGGATGGGGAAGGGGGCTTTGGGTACAATGCTGCGTTTGTATTATTCCACATGCTTTTTATATCTTTCTTCACATTTACCCTGGGTGATTCTGAACCATAAGCAGGAAGGAATAATTCTCATTTGAGAGCGCTCCCCACCTCTCCTCTGTCACTATCCAGTCTGGCTAGTCTCTGCAGTGCTGTGTCCTGTCTGAAGCAATAATGCACCTTAAGAGCCACTGCTCTATTCTTGTCACTTGTGCAAAACTAAAAATCCTTTCCTGAGATAAATAGGCACTGCCCTTTTATGAGCGGGGGTGGGGGG